TCCTTTGCCCGACTTGCTTCAGGTGCTCGTGAAGAAACCCCAGGTACTCTCTCTGCCTCCGAATTCCTCTCGTATTCTCGAGAACGCGAATCTCGCGACGACTGGTTAAAAGAGTACCCTTTCTCCACTCCGGGGCAAATTAACAGGTACTGATACTCGAGGAGGCTATCATCGACCTGTTCGCGAAACGTTTGATCTCGTTAACGAGCAACCTCGAGCACAAGAAGCTGGTGGAAGCCTCGGAGACGACCGAGTACATACCCAGCTACTTCGATCCGAATAAAACGGTGATGACGCGACGCACGACCATTCGATCGCCCCTGAAAGGTCTCACGGGGCGAATGATCGAGAGAATTTGTCACTCCGGAGCGATCAAGAACGCCAAGAAAGCGGTAGAGGTGCGAAATAGAAAACGGGAAGAGCCACGAGAGTAATCGGTCCCACGGTGCCCCGTGTAATTCTCGTAATTTATAACCACGCGCTTTCAGGGATTGTTGTACGTTCTTGCCCGGGACAATGAAAGAAGCACAAGAGGGCAGGACATCGCCTTCGGTTAACTTCATAATATGGCTCTACGTAATTTACGTCGTGCTACACCTTTTGGTCTTCCTGTTCGATTATTTTTTATGGAAAGCTAAATTCCAAGTCGACTGCTCTTTGTTATACCGATATACCTAAGTCCCATCATCTTTGCGCTTTTCTATATACGCTTCTGTAATCCCTGCATTGTACCCTTGCGAAAGGAGACACTCGCAAAGAATAATAACTATCGCTAGAAAATTGGAACATCATTCTCGTACGTAAAGAATTGCCTGGGAAGCAATCGGAAAATGATTCGTGTTCGCATAGGTACGTCAGTTTCGAAAGCAAAGTTTCTTGTTCGAAAGCAGAGTGGAACCAATCCGGGGAACGGAATGGAGGCGGATATAAGAGGAATGCAAAGCTCTCTCCAGACCAATGTATCCCAGTCGGTTGACGTTGAAAGAATCCATGCACTTCGTCTCGGCCTAGACGAGGAATTGTATTTCGAGGTTCGACCGAATCGTCTTTTCCTTATGACCACGCGATGCGAATCGCGAACGAAACGAAAATAAAACGCCGTTGATGCGCGGAACGGCGGAAAATAAAATTCGCCGGGAATATTACGTGGGGAAATATTTCGCGAAATTCGTACGGGAAGAACAATTCGCTCGCGTTAATACCGCGAGTCGATATTGAAAAACAGCTCCGAAACGTAAATTTAAATAACAATTTCGCATTAGCCCTTAATACAAAATCTCATTCCCGGTAATGCGTGGTCACCATCGAGTTACATATTTCAGCGTCCAGCGCAGCCCCAAAAAACCATTATTTCACTCATCCGTCCACCCCTCGTCATTCGTTCTCCACAACCTATGTACCCGGCGGGGTTGTATAGACCACCACTGTCCTATATTACGCACCACCCACACACCCTATCCTACGAGCATTCATGCGTAGCAGTAACGTATGGCACGACGAAACCACCCCATCAGCACTGGAAGCTTTTTCGTAGTACAATAAAATTTCACGGCTAAGCTGACTCTTATTAGATCCTGGAGAAGTGCCCTTCGTCTTATTTTCGACGTAAATCCCTGGCAACTCCCCTCGTCCTTTTACTTCCTCCAAGGCGAACCTTGGGACGCGTTGTATCGATTGAAATCCAACGAAATTCGCTCTCAACTCTGGATTAAAGTTCGCCGACGTTTCTATCGCCAACCACCCTTTCCCCTTTTTCTCGCATACGTGTTCCAAACGGCGACACCTATTATACCGGATCACACCGAACGATTATCCACGATATCGATCATGCTTTCGCGAACAACGAAACGTTCCGAATAAAGGATTCCTTTCGTCGTTGTACTGCTAGCCCTAAATTATTCGAACACCGTGTTCAACGATATTTCACTCTCCTCCTCGCGGTCGGGAGGACACTTTAGCTGTGGCGAGTTTGCGCGAGAGCAAACCTCGCAGAACAATCGCGCAAGACAAAGAACACTATAATTCGGCGCACGTCGAAAAGCGGTTTTCATCTCGAGATTCATTATTCAGTCAAGAGTTTGAAGGAATTATTGCTGGGGGACAGGGGTGGGGCGACGGTGGCGGCATTTATGATGAAAAGGGCTGAATGCGCGCTTTGATATGCGAAATTCGAAATTCGGGGCAAGATAAATACGCGCGTTCTCCTGCCAAGAGGATTTTGTTCGATAGGAAAGCACCGGTGAGAAATAATAGAGGGTCAGCTGCGCAGGGCGGATGTCATTACCAGTGGCCGCATAAAAAGCTGTCTCTCGTACAACAGTGTGCTGCAATTAGCACAGCGTCATACAGTACAATCCCTGTGTCAGAGCAACAGCGCAACATCCGATATTTCTCGTCCCCGCCATGTGTCCAGCGTTGCGTTCGAAAATTTTATCCCGTGTTTTTCCCCTTTTTTTACCATGTCGTCGCTAACGTACAGCAAACACGAGCCCTCGAATCGGTCAATTTCGATCTAGTACTATGTAAATAAAAACCGGGAAAAATCGTTGGAAAATAACCTATCTTCTCGCCGCTTCGATTCTACGATACGTTGTACAGTGGAAAATAGCGCATTAAACTGAAACGAAGCGTTTATATTTGCCGATATGCTAGAAAATGTATGTACCCATGTATGTATATTCGGCAAATTTACGTTTCGGCAGTAACAAGTGAGAAGAGGAAGGAAAAAAGGAAACGAGAGAACAAGATAAAAGACTGAGCATCTCTCGCGTTGATGATGGATGCTAAAAGGCACTCTGTAGGACGAAAGTTTCATGCGTTTCCTTTTTTTCACCCTTTTCAATCCATGTTGCTACGCTAGGCAAAAAACGTGACCACAGGAACATGAAAGTCTTAATGAGCTCTCTCGCTAACGAGGAACGAGTTTGTTCAGGTGAACATCCGTTCCTCATCCTCGACGTACACGCGCTAGGCTCGTTGAAAGCAGCTTTTCTGGGATCGACGTAATTCAGCGTTAACGTGATCATGGCTCACAATATATTCCGCTAATCGCGTCAGTTCGAATCAACCTCGAATCCGCTTTCACGTCGAAACGGCGAAATATTATGTTGCGCAAAAGCTACCAGCAGTACATTCCGCTAATCAGCTTTATTTAGCCACGTACAGTATGCTTGTGTAACATTACATTCGATTATTCATTAATACGCGAGTTAACGAGAACTGAATATTCGCTGATTAACGGTGGACCGATAAATATCCGAATTTCTTGGTTACGTCGTTATGCGTCAATTTTCTGCGTGTCTGTAATAAGTGGAGACTCAGGGAGATATCGTGTAGAAGGAACGTAACCTTTTCTTTCTTGCATGCCTTGCATCTTATCTCCCGTGAAAGATCGCTTACAAAATTACCGACGCTCGGTAACGTAGTAATCGTAACGAACGTGTCAGAGAATCGGCCGACTAATGTTACATATTTAATCACGATAAGGGACGAGCCTCTGGGAGTGATTCGATATGGGGAAGGCGGCATGAACCAACTATCCATCCCGTTCATGCCGCTCCTCGGGGAAACATAAAAAGAGACCGCCTAGATTTTTTCTCTAATCGATCGGGCACGAAGAATCCGCCTATTCTCTCCCGCGCAAACCGATAAACACGTGACCGCCGACAAGTGCATGCCGGGAATGGAACGCTTAGATTGGCCGCAATGGCGGCGAAATGAAAAAGATATAAAACCATTAACGGGGATGTAAAATATGAAAGGAATAATATTATTCGAGAACACGAATCAAAGCGCGAGCTTAATCCGTTTGTAGACCCCTAAACTTTCGTCAAACGAGTCTGATTTCATCTTGATATAGCGCCGTTCTAACGGAGGTGGAGGACAATGGAGGAAGGAAGCGGCGGAAACAGAGGAGGAAGAAGAACAGAGAACAACGAAGCCTTAGCTATCTTCAGTCTGCTGGTGTTCTACCACGACTACATTAGACGGCTTATCCGCTCATTATGCGGCCCGACGATCGCGCTTATACTACAAACCCTCGACCTTTCCGTTAAGCTCTCCGCTTTTGGATCAACAATCTCACGTTCTTCCTTCCTGAAACCGACGATTAACCCAACACGATTCTGAATCATGCGCTATGCCGCAAAATTTTAATTCAACGCGTTAATGGTTCTGAACCCGACAGGCTTTTACCCTTTTACTAACACCGAGAGATTTTAACGATTCTAACCTGCATTAACTTGGAGTCTTTACGATCACAGATTTGCTCGTGACGTTAACGGAAAAAGTATAAATAAAAATTACAGTACCGTTTTAGCATCGTAAGCGTTCAGAGCGTCGATTGCTTTTCTGTCAAAAGACTCCAACCGTTGAGTGACGTTAGAAAAGACACTTTCGATTAAAGGCACCAGAATTCGATGAAATTTATCGCCGTTGTCGATTCCGAATGCATAGATCGATCGAAGAACGAAAGTAAAAGAAAGGGGCGCCGCCACTCGGTGAAAAGACTGCACTTAACGTGGCGGATATATATCGTTCCATAGGATGGAGTGGAAGTGATATGTGGCCACGCTTACCGGACCGGCTAAACGTACTATTTATTGTTCAGTCGCCAGCTTCCTTGGAAAATCCCCCAACAGTCGCAAAAGCGTACATTTAGCAAAAAGTAGAACAGCTTTCATTTGTAATGAATGTTTAACGACCAGGATACGCGCGATTAAAATTTTCGATCAATTGCCGAAATGGTTTTGCGACGCTAAAGACTTACATCTTTCGAGATGCACACATTTTGTAAAATAAAAATAATAGAACACTAAATTATTCGTAAAAAATATTGAATATTAATGCGTTATGTGTTCAACGTATAAACTACGATTATATCGATATCGAAAAATGCTTCATCTTAAAACCATAGCCTACACTAGAGCCGCGTTCAGGTTGCATGCATTTTCCGCGCAAAAGAATAAATTTCAATCATTTGTGTAAGATAAAGGACTTACCAGTTCCTTGCGTCGCGATTCCAACGACCACTGTAGTTTTAAGCTCATGGTTCTGTGATTCTCCATTGTTCTTCACAAATTGCCAATCTTCCCGTAACTTTTTCAATTTTTCCTATCGAAACACACAAAATGTAACACAAAACTGAAACTAAGACATGTGAATATAGCAACATATGCATTTTATACAGTTGGTACGCCATCGTACTAGGATATTTGAACATTAAATATTCTATACAAATATTATAGGAAACAGATAATACTAGTATTACTAGTAATACTAATAATAAAAAATAATAAAATAATAAAAATAATAAAATGATAAAAATAACAAAATAATAAAAATAATAAAATGATAAAAATAATAAAATAATAAAAAATAACAAAAAAATGTTAAATATAAAATTGATTACAATTTATTTTTTGCAAAAGAAAATTATGACGCTTTTTTAATTAAATTAATTATAAATATAGATGATTTTTTTTTTATTTCTATACTTACTTGTAATTCTACAGAAATAGGCTGTTTTGCAGATTCGCATTCTTTCTCCAAATTGGTATAATTTTCTAGAACATCCTTTACTTCCATTTCTCGATCTTCGACTTTAGTCTAAGATATAAAATATTATTAATTTATTTTTGCATAGAATTTTTTTTATTGCAACAATACACTCACCATAACATTGTTAATAACTTCAGTTCGCTCTTGTTGAGGTAATTCTCGGGATATATTTATTCTCGTTCGAGTTTCCATGACCCACGCCATAACAGCATCCAAAGTACAAATGTATTTTTTAAGAGATGCAAGTTTATTCTCTACGTATTCGCGGTGACTAGAAAGGCTCGCATTAGCCTAGAACATCCATTTAAATAACTTACTTAGATTGTAACTGGTCGTAACTTGACGATTTCAATTTGTTCTACATAAATTTAGTATAATACCTTATCCATATCTGCAAGTAATTTATTATATTCATCTTCTCCTTGTGGTACCACACTGTTCTGATTTATTAAATTCTGTAGTGTCCTTTTACGAGAAAAAAGTTCTTCTTGCCTGGCCTGAAAGTAACGATTATTTTACATTAACATTTGTATAAAATTTATTATACATAAAGAATACTGATTTATATTTGATAGTAAAAGGAGCAAAATGTAAGAGTTCATTGCTATTTATGTCTTGGCACACTTTAGTTTGTGCAGTCATGACATGAAAAGTATTATTAGGTTCAGTTTCAGTCTATTTGATAATGTTATAACATTCATTGCTTTCAATTACAACATTTTACAATCGTATATTTTAACAAAAATTACATTTGAAATCGATTTTACAAACTAATACTGATTTATATTCAAAACTACATAGTGAAATTATGATCCAATATATATGATAAAATATATTAAGTAAATATTATGATATAAATATTAACAAACATTCGTTCGTGTAAAATCTTAATTACTTCACAAATGCATGAACTTACTTTAATTAATGACAATCTGATTGATAAGGATGTCTCATCTGAAGGATTTGCTGCTGATACCAATAAGGAATTAATTTGCTCCAAAATGTTATGAGCACTTTCTAAAATCCTGCCTTCATTGTTCACTTTTTTTTCCATAGCAAAATTCCTTAAAAAGAGTATAGAATTATTAAATACAGTGTCAACAATATAGAAAAGATTAGTAGAAATGTTATCACTAATTTAAAATAAAAATGTAAGTTTAAATATCAAAGTACACAAAAAATTGACACAGAGAAAAAGTGTAACCATAATACAATTAAAATTTTAGTTAATTCGTGAATCTTTATGATATGGAGGTTATTCTGAGTTGATCACTACAGCACCAAAGGCAAATCACAACTGAAATAGCTCAGTAGGAGAAAAAGCTTAGCTTTCAATATCAGATATCTCAAAAACTTTAAACCATTATTTTATGAGTAAATACATAAGATTGATAAACACTATGAATAATCTATTTAATAAAATACTACAAAACATCTTTACTCACTTTTCTTTTCGTGTATTTAAATCAGTTACGATATTTTGCCAACGCCTCTTTATCATTTCAACAATATCTCTTAATTCCATCATATCTTCAGGTTTGGCGCGACTTAAAATACTAGCACTTGAAACATTAACATTGTTCATAGTTCTTTGCATCCTAGAAATCTCTTGTTCCAATTCAAATGTCTTTGTTTTTAATGTTTTAGATTGACCAAGGCAATTTAATTTTTTCAATGATTCTTCCGTTTTATCCAGCCAGTCGGAAAATGTTCGACACGTATTGCAAAGATCTTTCCACTTTTCGTAACATTTATTCCAACGATTATATCTTTCTACATAACTCTGGTTGACATTTATCCATTCGTCTCGTAATTTATCACTTAAACGTCTAATTTGTTCGGCTTGTTCTCTTCGTAATTGCGAAGCAACGTTTTCGAAAACGGAATTGATCTCTTCGATACTCGGTTTTAGGATATTTAACGCATTACTAATCTTTTTTAAACATTCCTCCTGACTCGAAAACATTTCATAATCATCGCCATTCAGAGGCACGGAATTTAAAGACCTTGTCACAGTCACGACAGCTTCTCTGATCTTATTAACCCTTGCAGTAAATTCTTGCATATCAACACCCCCTACATCCTGAAAAAATGTAACGTCAATATAAGAACTGTTTAACGAATCCAATCACAAATAAAAGATATAAGCGTACCATTTCAACTTTTTTATCGGTCACGTGTTTATCCTTATCCTTACTACCACTGAATCTTTTGAATTGTGAACTAACTTCTTGCCACCTACTATTGATGCTATATCGTATAGTTTCAGAATATCCGATATTTAATCTTTTTAACTCAACAGCCAAATCATTTAACTTTTTAATCTGTTCTTGTTTAGCATCAAATTCTATAGTAAACGATTCTAACTGGCCTTCATAATTATTTACTTGTTCCAGTTTTAATGGCACATCTCGAAACCAATCTTCAAATTCCGCTACTATAATATTATATTGCCGTAACATTTCTTCTCCTCGTTGTGCTTGTGTGCGTCTTGTTTCTATTTCAGACATAACTTGATGCCATTTACTTCTTAATTTATCCTGATGTTCATTTTTTATTTTTTCGGCTCTAACAGGATCAGAAGTGTGCACTGTCATGACTAGACCATCACCTTTGCTAATCAAAGCTGCTGCATCTGGAGCAAGAGTACTAACTTCTCCTTTTAGTACCTGAAATATACAAATATGAATATTTATGAACGAACATGTACAGCACGCTGAAGTTACGATAAAACTGTAAAAATTTTAACGTATAACGTAGCACTATTTTAAAAATCAACGAAATTTCTAATATAACATAATACAAACCTCCAGTCGCTTAGTTGGATCTTTTTCATTAGTGATTCCACTGATGCTCATCAACATAACATCCATTCTATGTAACATCCTTTGTGCAGCTTGTTCAAATTCCAAAATATTTTTTTCCAAGCCTGTTCTAGATAAACTAGTTGAAACTTTAAAAAGTCTTTTATCACCAGAAACCTTTACCTCTGCTCTATGTTGTATTTCTTGACACAACTTTTCAGCCTGTATCTATACATAACAAAATTATAAAAAAAAACTCTATATAGCATTAAACTTCATACATATGTTAGCCTTCACCTATTACTATATATCTACAAAAGGTTAAAATTGTATTTGTTATTGTTACAAATTGTATTATTGATAGTACATAACATACAAAATAGATCTTACAATGGCAAGATAAGTGCTATTAGAATTACCTTGCCCAAGAGGTGCTCAACATGCTCTCCTAAATTTGAATCTTCTCCATCTGAACTGGAACTTCCAACATCAATTTCTGTGTCATCAGAAAAAATCAAAACATCATCTGTTTCTTTATCGCTTCCATAGAAGCTTTCACAATCCTCTAATGTATCATCTTTTGAAATACTTCTGGTACGTTTAAATAACAATAATTTTGTATTCTTGTCACAATCAATATTATGATTCTCAGTGCTACGTAACTTTGAAAAATCTGTATCTTTTCCAGATGTCGACTCTCTATCATTAATGTGCTCTTTCCTGCTCTTTGTAGGACTGATTCCTGATGAACTTAACTTAGTATTCATTTCATTATCTTCAAGTATAAGATATTCAGCTATGCTATCCTTATCTTTCCACATGGAAGTTTTTTCAAATCTATTTACTTTACATGAAAATTGTGGACTTTTTAATGATTTGTTATTTGAAATTTGATTGTCCTTTGAAACACCCTCAACATCTAATTTAAGAGTTAACTTTTTTACGCTTTTTGCAGAATATGGATCTATTGGCCTTTTCTTCTTTAAGATAGGAATAAGTTCTCTTTTTTTATTAACTGTTTGATTTCCACTAATTGCACTACAAATTTTTACCCTAGTTTCTTTATCTTCGGTATCAGTATCTACTGATTCTGGTTCTGTCTCTGTATCTTCGATAATTTCTACTCTTTCAACAACTTGTGGCATTAATCCTACACTGACATTCGCACTTGGTAATATTACGTGATCTTCGGGAGATGCAACTGATTTTACTATTTCCATTTCTTTCACTTCTACAATATGGAAGGGGTTCATCTGTGTATTATATACATTGAACGGTTTTGATTCTGTTGTAACCAGTGTATTAGAAGAAACTTGAGAAAATAATTTGCTATTTTTGGATAGAAAGAATTCTTCATCGGCCATATACACATCTGTATCAGGTGATGAAGAAGGTAGATCGTCATCAATATGAACGACTTGTGGTTGAGAAGTTTGAACAACATCGGGTACAGAACTCATATCTAATTTTCGTCTAACAGTTCTACTAACATCTACGATTTTAGCTTTTACTTTCTCAGATTTTACGGAAGACTTCCGATTTCGGTGAACAATATCAACTGGTGAACTTTCAGGTGTATGTATAACATTACACTGACTCTCATCAAACGCAGGATTAAGATATCCTATGCCATATACCTCCTCATTTTCATCTATTAATTTAGTTTCTTTTTTAGCTAGCTGCACCGAAGTTTGATCCGGCTGTCTAGACAATTTAGTGCGTCCATAATTGTCTCTCCCCTTAGTTTCTCCCACCTTACTTTTTATTAATAAACTGTCTGTGATTTTGTGGATCCATTCCTGTGAAAATATGATAGGTAACAGAAAATTCATGGACAGGCGACAGTTAATTGAAAGAGCATTGTTAATAGTGTGACAATATCAAGCATGGCCAAAATGAAAGTGACAATGCATTTCACTGTGCAAACAAAGCTTTTTCTTTGCGTGTATCCATCACCAGTATAAAAACTTGGAGCACATTTTTGTTCATTCCTTATTCGTTGTTTTGCAAATCATATTCAGACTTCTGTATGAAAATCTATACAAGGGGAGAGACAATATCATAAATGATTGATCAATAACAAGTATTTTCCATCCACCAAAGTTTACATCCGCTTTTTATTAATGACAGTATTATTTACATAGATAGAGACACCTCTTGGACAGGATCAAAATACTCTATAAAATTCACTAATATGTACAGATATAACTTACATATAATGCTGATACCATGAAGTGTTAGATAAATATATAGTATTAATGATCAAACTTAAAAAGTATAAATACATATAATTTATTTACATGTATTTTTCTAGAAGATTAAATATTTTTTTCTAGAATTATTAAATATTTTAATAGATTAAAAAATACATATAAAATAATCCAAATCATAAAATCTTTGTTATAAATTAATAATTGTAACATTACTAATTATTATTAAGATATAATTATACTATATTTCAAAATCTCAAATATGGAAGTTTAATGTATTGCATCAACTATAATTTTTAGTGGAATTGAGACATTAGTTTATAGAAACCACATGATCATACTGTTGTTGAAATATAAAAAAAAAAGTTAAAAAAATATGCAGTATACATTACAGAAAATTGTTCTTGATGAGATATACGTAATGGTACTATAAAGCACAAGCATTACATATACCAGATGTTAAGATAAAGAACAAGCAATACAAGCAATGAAGAAACAAGCAATGAATGATATTTAAATTTATTACATAAATATATGTATATAAATATATACATACTTGTATTCTATTGGATATATCCTCCCACTTCTTGCAGACATCTGAAACCTTTGGATAATAGGTATAACGTTGTAGTTGATTGACTTTTGGTTTTGCTTCGATCATTTCACTTTGAACAGCCTGAAAATAAGCCATTAAATAAACACTCTATGAAAACGTAAAATTCGAATTAATACAGTGTAATCTTAAATAATCATCAATTACTTTGCATTGCTCAAAATGATTTTCCGTCAGCTGATCGACCGGAACACCGTCTAATTTATTCAGTTTTTCTTCAACTTGTAAAAGCCAAGCTTTTATTTCGTCAACGTTAGGTTCTTCCTAAAAATACAATAATTTTAAACATCATACCAATTTTTACTATCATACCAATGATATTCTTACCTCTGTGGCACTACATAGTCTTAATCTTTTTTCAGTATTTGCTAATCTAGTAACAACATCTGATAATTTTTCCTTAAGTTGTTCTAAATACATAGGATCACAAAGTTTGGAAAAATCTTCCTGAGAATTTAATAATTTATCTTTCACAACGTTTAACCGTGGTATTACTTCTGTCAAAGTTTCCTATTTAAGTAATTTCATAATCATTTATTTTCCCACAATACTGTAATCTAAATTTATGTACATATTTATGCACTTACTCGTACATATATTGCATTAACTGGAAGATCAGGCATATTTTTCTGTGTATCTAATTCCTTGTTAATACTGTCTATGGACATATTAATATAAGACATATTTTTATACATATCACGTGATAAATCCAATGCTGTTTCCAAGCAAACTTTTGATTCAGTTATATGTGAACCCAACTACAATAATGAAAATATACATAATTGTAGGAAAAAAGATAAATATCTTTATTAAAGGCATACAAATATTTTATATGCATTACCTTATTATACAATTCCTTTAGCATATCAATTCGTCGTGAAAATTTCTCTGGTTCAGTGACACTTTTTTCTTCAACTAATTTTCTACCAGTTACTATAATATTTTCTATCTCACTTTTAATTTCACTTAATGTTTGATAAAAGCGCTGCATAAAATAATAAGTCACAAATTTTTCACGTGGAAAATATAATAACATCATACAATAAATAGTTAATTACCAGACAATGTTTAAGTTGACCTTCAATAGCTTCTGGATCTTCTGATGATAATTCTAATAAACAAGTTGCTTCTTCTATCCCCCTAAGTTCTCGTAAAGCTCTGGATAATCTTGGTTCTAAATTCGTTGGACATCGGAAACGTTGGAATTTCCTTTGCACCTCAGAAAATTTTTGTTCGATAAGGATTAGCTGCTCTTGTAATCTCAATGCAGCTTCTTGTTTTCCAGAAGCTTTATATGATTCAATTTGCAATGCCATTTCTTGAAGTGTTGAACGTTGATGCTCCATTTCTTCCATTAATTTCTAAAGTTTAAATTTATATAACAAATATTACTAAGGAATTTACATTTGTCTAATTCTTTGTTTAATTTACAATCAATAAAATTTAAAAAAAAATACTATATATTACACATTATTTAATCTATATCTGTACAAAATACACAATAACTCTTTTCATATCATGCTTCTTCGAAGCAATGTTTTATGTACAATGTTTATTAATATGAGAGCAATAGATGAATTCAGCACACATAGTATGTTTACACTTTTATGTATTCATTTGCAGTATGAATATATCAAACAAACATTTAGTAAACAAGTAACAAAAATTTCACTAACAGACCTGATAATCATGAGGCAGATCATCAGCGGTAAGGTCGCAGTCAAGACGTGCAGTTAGTACAGAATCTATTTGCGTTAAGGAGTGTTGAAGAGCAAGAATACGTCCTTCTGATTGTTGTGCTTGCTTCACTGATCCCTCCAGCAGCTTTGCTCGCTGGCCTGCCTACTCAAAATATAATTCTAACATTTTGTGTAACTTGATTAAAACAACTTTGTTGTATACATTATTACTTAGATATATTCGCAGAACAATAAAACTTACATATAAAATGTCGTTAAAAATTAAAATAAAAAGTTACAAGTATACAAAATATTACTAACTTAAAAATACATGGCAATTTTTAAAAATTCCTTTTAATAATACTTTCTCTTTCAATGTTTCAAATAAATAAATAGAAAGCTTCATAATTCACATAAGCAAGAACAATTTTGTAAAGCGGAAACTAATATCTTTAAAAGACTAATAACTTTCAATGGATATGCCTAAATAAGTATTCAAGACTTCTTTAGTAATGATACATGCAGTTATTAAAAATAAATACAATTTTTTGTTATAAACAAAATCAATATTTCAAGCATTACGACATTACACATAACAGTTGCTTACCTGATTATTTAAGCTTTTCCAACGACTTGTCAAGCTCTCTACATCTGCTTGAATAGATTGAGTCATGATATTACTTTCAATCAATTGTTTACCAATTTCTTGTATCTTTTCAAGTCTTAATTCTGGATGATTTCGTATATAATTTTCCAAATCCTTTATAAAATAAAAGTTCATTATGTTGTACATAAAAATAAAAAAAAAGAAAAGAAAAAACGAAACCATAAAAATGTACTATGAAGTTTCAACTTACATCAAGTTCTTCTGATATTTCTTCAGCATCTGCAGCACTTTCTGTTGACCTCTTCAATCTTTTATCTAACTTATCCAACCAGTCACTTTCTTGTGCAACTAAAGCCCGAAATTCGCCATATTCGTGGCTAGCATTTTGTAAATGTCTATAACGTTCATAAATACGGTCTGTAACATCTGTCCATCGTGCATTTAAAAATGTAAATCGTCTACCAAGTTCCTGTACCGAAGATCCTTCGGAGCTTAACAACTTATCATTACCCATTTCGTTAAGGTTTCTAAATTCCTCTACTCGTTTATCTATCTTTTCTTTTAATGACTGATACCGACCACGAACTTGAAACAATTCAACTGAAGACGTTATTTTGGTTTCAACTGGTATTTCTTTTTCTAAGATTGCTAACCACTTTGTAAAATCTTCTATACCATTTATAATTTCATCATTCTTTTTCAATGTATCTTCATACTTATCATTTAAACTATTAGCACCATCAACAATAGCATTCCATTCATGCGATACAATTTCCAACTTGTTATTTAACACATTCGCAAATTTTGGTTCAGAATTTTCAAGTAATCTATTTGTAGATGTTTGTAGTTTTTCTATTCTCGGTTTCGTTTGATTTATATCCTCGCAGAAAGATTGGATCTGCTTCAATTTACGTTCCATTGTTTCAATATCATTTGATGCATTATCTTTTGATAGTTCTTCTAGATACTGACTCGACTTTTCGAGCCAGTTTTCAAGCTCCGAAAGTTCATTATTAAATATCTTTAAGGACTGTATATCTATGTAAAATTGAAATATGTTTTTAAAGTAGATAAAGTTTTATAAAATTTATTAAAAAGTTTAATTTGTATATATACCTTTCAACAAGTTTTGTTGACGTTCCTCAAGTATTATAGGTATATCACTCCATTTGGTGATAAGATCTTGTAATGCATCTTTAAGTCTTTGCCCCTGAGACTCCCCACTGGTCTTCATTATTAACTCGTGTCCAACACTGTTCACATAATTAAAAATATCTTGATGTTCTCTCAAAGAATTTTGCAGATCACTGAACTTTTGCAATTGTTCTGTCATTGTTTTATCATCTGACATCACTATATGCTCTGACAATAACATACTTTCTACATTATTAATAAAAGAAGTGAGATTAGCAACTGCATCTGTATATTTCTTTGGTGGTGTTTTGTCTACCGCATCATTTATTTCAGCTAATTTTTCAGATAATCTAAAACAATTTGTAAAAATATGTAAAAACGGTATACAGAAAATTATACTTAAATTAGTACCGAAAATAAATTATTTACATTTTATATAATTTCTCCCAGCTACAAACAAACGTTTGTATATCTGTATGTAAATTAACAGTTTCATTAATACCAATTTGATTTTCTGACAATTCTTTGACTTTTTCTAACAATTTTTTTATACGTTCTTCGTGAGATTTCATTGACTTCAATTTTACCTAAATAAAAATTACGTTTAAACCAAAATTTTGTTTAGATTTTTGCACAAAATATTTAGAAACCATAACAAAAATGTTACCCGAAATGGTTCCACTTGACTGTTTTCTTTGTTTGAATCAAACCATTTAGAATAGCTATCCAACATTAAATTTAAACTAGCCAATTCGGTTCGAAATTTTTTCACTTCTTCTAGATATTCTATACGACATTTTATTTCTTCGAGCCGATTGTTTGTTGCCATCCAACAATTCTGTATATCTTGAATTTTTGTTTCCTCTGATTCAAACGACTCATTAGCATCTCTTAGTTCCTCGAGAAGCTGTTTTCCTAACTCCAAAACTTTGTTGTAATCATCTGTGTGTGCCTTTATATCAGCTGTTGTATCATTGTAAACGACTTTCTTTTCTTCGATGCTCAATTCATCAAATACCCCTTCGGATCGACCAATTTCTAAGTCAACATAATCGAGCCATTTATACAGATTGTGTAAGGCAGATTCAAATTCATGCCTAGTTGTACTATCTACACGACAACACGTGGTATAATAAGTTAAATAAATATTTTTCATAAAATATTTCATAAACATACAGTTGCAGTAATTTCTTCTTTGTAAGCGATACTCGTTACTGTTTCAGACATCCATTCATTGCCCGTTATCATCGTTGTTTCCCTTTCAGTTTTTAGATCAAATTCAAATCCCGTATTTGTTATCTAATAAAAGAATAAAATCATAGAACTATTTATCGTATAAAGATAAAGAATAAATATTCTACGTAAATGTTACATTACCCTTTGAGTTTGCACTTCCATTATCTGTCCTACCGCATCCCATCGATCCTGCAAATTTTCGATCTTCTCTAATATATTAATACAGTCTGGCGAAGTACTTTGTCCTTCCAATTCTTGGATTGATTTTTGCAAAGATATTAACTTTCGCTGATTAGCATCCATGTCCATTTTCAAAATTTGTAATTTTTTAATTCTTTCAAGAACTTCGCCAATCTCAGATGCTGGATTTGCTTCCATTTGTTTTAACGTAATTTCAGTTTCATTCAACCATGACATTAATCTTTTATAATCATCGTTCACACTTTGCCAAAGCAAGGAAAGAGTTTGCAAACGTTGCCTCCTTTCTTCTTTCCATTGACAAATATGAGTCCATCGTTCTCCAAGGGCTGACAATTGATCTTCCATTTGCGCATAAACCGCTTCGGAGTTTTCTTCATCCACGACAACTACCATATTTCTCATACCATCGACAACTCCTTGCTGCGCCCCGATATCTTGTTCCAGTTCATTTAATTGTTTCAGTTGATCATCTAAAGCAGATTGGTTCAATTCAATAGCAGCCATTAACGAAATCCTATCTTCGGTCCTCGTTAACCACTGTCGCAATGCATCTAACTGGCCTTGCTGCATTTGCATGAGAACCTGTAATTATTCAAAAACAAATAATTATTAACCATATATATAATCAACGTTAACAAAAGCAAAAACATACCTCGTGAATTTTAGTTTGTCTTTCCATTGCACGCATTCGAAGTCCTTCCCACCGAGAATTTAGCAATGACATTTGAACACGGACTTCGTGTTCCTCGTCCTTGTGTAATCCGCCTTCCGCTAATAATCTTGCACCCTCCTCCAACACAGCACCAACTCCATCTTGATGACCAGACAATTCCACCAAAAATGTTTCGTGTTCGTGAAATTGTTGTTTCAGTATCTCTAAACTAGACCCAGGTTCCGGTGCATGATTTAATTTATCCTCCGCCTCTAGAAGCCAGGTTAACACTTCCTCGAGAGCAACTTGGTAACCACCAAGTTCTACAGACACGTTCGTTGCAAGACTCATCGGTCGCGACGTCGGTGTTCCAAAATTTGTGAAGGATAACGTGTTCTGCAAGCAAGCATTTTTCTAGAAAGAATGCAGATAATTACTAAGCAATATGAAATTCGATTAAATACCTCTGCTCCAGGTGTCGTAACCGGGCTACCGTCACTCGCTACCGATAGATCTAACTCGCCTATATCGTCTCCGGAATGAGGTAACGATTGGAAAAGGCACATAACATACATCATAATTGATTTCTTATCCGGCACCGACGTATTCACATCTGTTATGAAATACAGCACATATAAATCTTAAATTCATAAGCGAAAAGTAATATTAACTTGATCTTTCAATTTACCTTCTGGATCCAACAATCGTTCGATGCCTAATTGTACATGAGCAATACGAAATGCGTGATCTAATCTAGCATTCGGATGTTTACGCGCTATATTATTGAAATCGAATAAATGTGGTTTCCATTTATGAAGAATCGCATTGAATGCAAGACCATCTGACCAAGATGTCGTGAAATTTTTTATGTCAACTCCAGGGTAATTCTAAAAGCAATACATAATCCAAAATTTTATTATCATACATTATTTCAAGAAGGTAAAAGAAGGTAATTTATTTTGCCGATGAAGATTTCACCTGTGAATTCTGTCGACACCATGCTAATAGAGTTTTTTCCAGATTTGTCTGTTGCAATTCCGTCATCAAATCCTTCAGATGATAATGAACCTGGATAAACATTTCATTTAGTTTCAAATAAACGAAAGTATTAGAGGACACCGTATAACATAGAATTACGCAGATGATAAGCAATAAAAGCATATCAAATATTTGACGATCATTTTTGTCTTCGGCAAATCGTCCCAGCTATAAAACTGACCTGCCAGTGTAGGATAATACTCCATACTAATCCGAGTGTTAGCTTAGGATTCCCGTCAACTATATCGTTACTGCTAATATTTACGAGTTTCACCTAGAAACACAGCAAAACGGAACATTAACTTGCGCTTCCTCCAATTTTTCACATAAACAAATCAGCAACTCACGTTATTCTGTTCAAGAATTTGCAAAGCTTTGTTGACGTTATTCAGATGATGAACTCTCATTCGACCTCGTTCTCTTTTCTGTAAATGATAAATATAAATTAGGATAATCGTGGCTAATATATTTAACCATATATTTACAAGCTTTCGTTTTCTGTTGACGAAATCGTTAACAGAAACAGAGACGACGGATAGCGCGATTTAAAAGTCTAAATGAAAGGAATCTTCCAAATGACTGAAGACGCCCATGAAACGGCACAAATACGCGGAACAACGCATAGTTCTTGCCCGGAATGCTCTTACGCCTACTGTGCATAGATAATCAGCACTCTCATGCAAATATTCGTAATACTCGATAGGCGCACCTGCTTGAAATTCTATTCGTACGGCTTATAATGTAAACACGAGACGCGCTACTCCAAGCAGCGCTCAAAAAAGAACGATTGTCAGCGGAATGTTTAAAAGATTACATCAGACGTGAAATAAAAATATCGCGTGTATCTCATAATGAACTATCGCGCCTGCCCACCGGGATTATATAATCGTTCACCTTCGTTGAAACTACGGTACTTACATAGACTTTCGACGTGAGAACCTCCAACAGGGACAGTAGCCGATTGCCATCTCGTAAGTCCACGAACAAATCGGAAATCGGTTCATGATGATTCTGTACAAGCATTTCATTCGTTCAATACCGTTTCATCGATATAAGACTCGTATTAACCCTTTGCGCTCGACGATTTTTTGGCTAAAGAAGGGTACGAGTTGGAAAATTTTCTTCCATAAGGCTGATGATATTTTTTGAGTAGTAAATAAGAAATCGTATAATAATGAACACGTAGAATTATTCAATTTCGATACCTCGCACACTGTTATGTTATTTTAAATTTGATATATTAATTAATATCGAGCTTCGAAATTTGGTGAAATGGTGACCCAGAGGCACCTCTCGAGTGCAAAGGGTTAATAGGATCGTGCTTCCACCGTTTAGGTGAAATTTCGATCCTTGCTAATTTTCAACACACGTTACACGTACCTTGAGCAACTGCGAATTTATCCATTTTGCAAACGTTTTCTTTTGTACGTCTTCCCGCTCATCTGCAATACACGTAGTACACAACTGTTATAGGAATCGGAAGATAATCGTTCTTAATCTAAGATCAATTTATCTCGATTATATCATCGCAGGTACATAATTTTGCACGATAAGCATGTTGACAATGATACCTTGGTCTTAAGAATTGGATCACGCTGGAACCGGTTACGGAATCGATATTTTTGAGTAAATGAGTAAGGAGGATGAATCGAACATCGCGAATAAAAAGGAATATTTGGTAGAACGAGAGAATTTATTGGAAATGGCGCTTAACGCGTTACGATCGTACGATATACGTTCGATTAAATTGTCTCGAGAGACTTGTAAAAAAAAGTAGACTGTAATTTTGCGATTATTACGATGGAGACGAAGAGGAAAAGGAAAAAACAACGAATCTTGATTCGAATATCTCGTTTCTGCAACAACAGCAGTGGTTTCATTGTCATTTCGACACCACCGCGAAATTATTGTCGACGTGGCAACGACGGCTCGTCATCTATCGCGTTGACACTCATTGACCCCGGTAGATGCAGCAGTAAACTCTTGAAATTTAGGTCGGCCAACAGAAAGTCATAAGCACGATGCTTAAATACCTGTGGTTTGGTGTTCTCCGCCACTAGCGATTTTTCATCAGTCGCGAAATTTTCGTTTTCCATCGTGGCTGAACAGAGCTGGAATGAGCAACCGTCCGGTGAAAATCGAGTCCAAAGGCATACGACAAACGTCATTTGCGTAAACTGTTCGCATGATTCACCGTACTTTGACCAAAATGGTCTTTCGTTCGTTCTTTCTGTGTATGTCTCTACGCGGAGTCCTTCAAAGCCCCACACGATCGCATAGATTAGCTGGATTTTTACCAGAAACCAGAATATTCAGATTCCGATCGTATCGCCTTATACCGGTCGACGTTGTAAATTCTCTCGAATTGAATTCTCGCGAAATTCTTCGATAGCTATTAGACAAATCTGCCAGGTGATCTATCCTGTCTCGAAACTCTGACACCATTCGTCATTGCCTTCGATCGCGTCGTCTGTATTGCTCGGTGAATGCGGTCGAATTATAAATGAAATGTCTGGACATGGTTAACTCGAACGATATCGACAGCGGGAATTAATCATCGAAGCTATATCGGGGCCCTAGTGGCGCTAGTAGGCGATCCAGAAAGCTATGCATTTTTCGTCCCAGATTCGAGGCAACGAGCAAATGGAAAATAAAAGCGACCAGCACGCGGACGTCACTGTGTGGTCAGCGATGAATGAACGAATGACCGTGCTTATCGCGCGTTCGAAGGGGTAGGAGATAGCAGGGAGAAGAAAAGGGGAGCAACGGGGGACAGAAATCGCGAATGGCAATCACGTAGCAGAGGCGAAGTATGCCGTAAGATACGCGCACGAGAGTCTTTCCTGGCCGGGCATCGGCCAACGTGGAGCCTTTCCTTACGAAACCGTGCCGCTTCCGAATATGGTGCATCGAGTTCTTTTGCGACGTCGTACGATCACCAGTTTTCTTTGCGCGATCACCGTGTCCCGTCCCTCTGAATCCCCGTCGTTTTCTGCCAGAAAATTCAATCCCGGCACGTAACACGCCACTTCCTGCGCGCTTTCGATCATCGGCCATCCTACGCGACCGAGAGTAACGACCATCGCGACGATTGTTCGATGGCGATGCACGTTAGCCACGCTACTAATAGGATGGTATTTACTCGTTAACTTGGGAGGATGAGTTAACTCCTTGTTTAAAAATACCTCCTCTCTGGGAAACTCCACTCGTAACGAGCCCGATGATTCACCATGGAAATCGATTAAACTCCAATCGCCAAAGATTTCCAGCGTTTATGGATCTTTTGTTTAAACTATAATAACCCCAGCCAGACTGATACGTTAACTGTACAATAGGTTCATTCTTGATATTCCAACCCGGGGCTTAGAGATCATTCCGTCCGCATAGTACTCCAACGTCCTTAGCCTTATGAATTTTAAAAAGGCGTTTCCCGTGTCGCTATGATCCGGATGGCATTGTTTACAATGACGGAACAAGATGGCGAATCGCAATTGACGACCAGTTTAGAGATGGTTACACATGATGGATGTAACGGAATTTCAGAGCCGAGGTCATTCAGCTTTAGTGGTATGAAACGGGAAACGTGGACCTTAACATTGTCGCGAATTCTGCGCAGTCTTTCTGTTAACCGGTACCGGTTATTTCTATGCCAGCCAAGGAATGTAGGCTGATTTTTGACGTTAACCGGTGAGATAGGGTCGAATTAAGTCCCATTAAAGAAACGAGTTAAAAGGCATTTTATCCGACTGAATACCCTGGCTGCGCTTTTACGTTAATGGCTGGATTACTCGTTCGAATCTGTCGATCTATAAACATAAATCTACGAACGGGGAGAACGTATCGTCGTGAGAGGACAGTGAAACGATACCGAAGCGCGTCGAGGCGAAAACTGGCCTGATGCCCTGAAGAGAAATATCGCGAGCAAATACAGAACTATTTATGACCCGACATTTCGCATAATGCAGTGCCATGCATCACCGGTAACAGTAAAGTGCCGTGTATCGATCAAAAGTATGCATCTGACCCGCGGAACCGTTAAGTCAAATCATTCTGCAGCCTAGTGATTTCCAAAGTACCATTCGATTCCAAGGTACGTATCATCGAATCGAACGAACGTATCGACCTGAAATTACAGGAAACCAGACAGCTGTGTGCACATGCCGCGCGGTACTATCTGTAACGAAGTTCCCTTAACATTTTCTAAAGTCCAAAGCTAGCTACGAGTGTTTATAAGCAGATGCACATCTGCTGGTTCACTTTCGAGGCAACCAACGTAAACAGCGGTGGCCAAGTACGAAGTACGCGGCAGAACTCTGTGTACACGCCGTTGTGTTGCCCTGAAATGTGCGTGACGCATCAAATTCATTGCACCTTTAAATAACGTCATAAACTTCCCTCGAAAAGGAAAAAACTTAAAGAGTATATATAGGGTATGATGTAACCGAGTGGTATAACGAACGAGCGCGTGATCTCATACGAGGAATCGGACAAAAGACACGGGATAAAAGCGATCCGTTTCAAGCGAATGGTATCGAATTTTCAACCGTAACTATCCGAAGAGAGTCCTACAGGGAAAGATATTTTCCCACATCCTCGAAGTCGCGCTCTCGCGAAAGAAAATGGGCGATTTCGCCTTGCCAGTCGTGCTTCCGGTTACAGGACACCTCGCGCAGTTTCGCAATTGATTTTCGCTCATGCGAACGAACATTCGACTCCGAAACTCGAATAGGAGTTTTGATATTCTCGCACGAGTGCTAGCCGAGTCTCGGACGATTATCAACCACCCTTTCCGCGATCGCGAGGGTTGAACGAACCGCAACTTCGAGACGCGTAACGCTGTTAACGCCTCGATAATACGTCGTTGAGAAAACAGTGGCAGCCATCCGAAACCACCGCTAAACTTAGCTAAACGCGCTCCAACACGCGCTGTCTTCTGCACCATACGCGCATTCATTAGAGCAAATCAACGAAACAAATATTTTGCGGCGAAGCGCCGTTGCGCCGACACCTAGCGAGGCAAGCTTTCTAAAAGGAAACCCGCATTCTTCGTGGTTCGCCGTCCTGTCGTCCGCAAAAACCATTATCAATCTCTTCTTTACGCGGATCGCAGGAGAACAACGTATCTCGTCCGAGTGATCGCGCGATAGACACATCGCACCTCGAAGACCGCTCTTGCAAGGATTATACGACAGATAAGTACGGTATTTATAAGAAAAATGAAGAAAGGAAGAGAAAGAAGAGGGTAAACACAGGGATAGGTGGGGCATAGTTTGGACATAGTCTGGACATAGGGATTTATGTTTACAATCGTACTAATCTTCTGGTTACATCGGTGACCATTACGCCATCGATAGTGCGCTAGGTTTGCAGTATCGCTGTCACAGCGCGATCTCGAGTGTCGGTTACCTCAAGGACGCAGCATTTTTCGCGAGTCGACTGCCACTCCGCGAGGGAAATGCTCTCCATCCAGGTATCTTTATGCTCGCACGCTCGAATCTCCGGGAGAATTATACGCGTATCGAGTGGTAATTCCACGTCGAGCTGCAACTCTTACGCGTCGTTCCTTGGCGAACGCACGACAAAATCGCGTTAACGATCACGAACCTGATTCTCTCCCTTCTTCATCGCGCTACGCCTCGCGACTCTCCTTTTTTCGCTAGAATCGTTAAGCACCGTCGAAAACGGCCCCGAACGAGATGCTCGAAAGCACTCGATGTCGCCACTTCGTTAAAAAGATGCAAATGTCGAGAAAATGAGGGAAGGAAGATCCAAAGGATGCAATAAAGACTAGCCGTACGGCGGAGAGGCGCGTGGTTGTCGTTTTACGATAAATTACCTCGATTTCGTCGTAAACACCGTGCGTGACGGTGGAGGAACTGTTAACCCTTTACCCGAGGCGGAAAATTAGTCTGTAAATATTCTTAACGCGGTGCTTAATGTTCGCAATTTTATAGCGGGTCTCGCGGACAATCGTAAGACGATACAGCCTTAAAGATTGCTTCCTCTGACACGAGGCTATATCCAGTGCCGCGTTTAAGAGACAGGAAACCAGCGTCGAGGAGCAGCGAAACTTTCAACTTCCGTGTAATAATCGTGAAAGACAGGAATAAAAATCGTTGAGAACCTGTGCCGATTCGCAAAACGCGGGAAACTCGTATCCGTGGTAGAACAGCGTACTCGGTCGGATCGAACGCACTTTGCGTGTCCCCATGCTTCTTAAAGTATATACAGCCGTACCCCAGTGGTAGCACAAAAGGCCGCAAAGCTTTTAACCGCTTTTCGACTGTACAAGCCATTCGGTGCCGCCTTTTCATTCATTGGCGCCAGATGCAAGTGGAGCACCGCGTGCACTTTGCAAACAAGCTAGGATGACAGTCAGCGCGGCAAACAATCGTTTAAACGAGATGACAATGCGGACTCTACCGACCGCGAGGACAGCATC